TTGCTGCTCAGCAAATCTACTAAATTCCCCTTGCATACTTACTGCTCCTCTGTCTTAAATTACACCTCATACCTATTCCACCTCCTGGCACCTTCAACACCTCTTCCCCTTCACCATTCCTACTTTCCGTTGATAATGATGTTACCAATTTTAGTGAGAAAAGGAGACCAATCAGAAGGTTTGCACTGTATATTTACTTGTCTGTCTTTCCCCCTTATGGTGATGTGAGGTAAGGAACTTTGTATATACAAGACCTAGATACTGTGTTCAGAATTTTTGGCTCAAAAAAATTGATAATATAAACGAGGGGCGTAAATTTTTCACAAAGTCATGAAAACGTTCATGTTAAGAAACTACTGCTCAAGGCTGAAACAAATGTCTGCTGTCTCCAAGTTCAATGCTCTCTAGACCCAATTCATTCTGATATTATAGTATTATCATGCAGTCTCAACTGCTGTTTCCCAAAAGTTCCAACCAAGTTTACTTGGTTAAAAGTTAAAAGGCAAAAAAAGAGAGAGAAAAGAAAGACCAAACCAGCAGGAAATTATAGCTCTGAGACATACAGCAGGAGAGGGGTGAGGGAGAGGCCAGGACAGGGGAGGGAAAAGCACATGGACAGAGGTGATGGAGCACAGTGATGTGGTGGTGGGAGATTTATGGGGACTACACCTGAGGGGAGAAATCAAATGTTGTACAAAAATGAACAACAATGTAAGAATATAAAAAAATAAATAAAATTCTTAATAAACTTAAAAAAAAAGGGACATGATTGTACCAGGGTTTCAAAACTTTCCTAGAATATTAGCTTTGTAGCAACAGTGCGATGATTACTTAATGGCATAAATATTTTATTTCTATTGAATTTTTCATATTAAATTTACAGCTTGCATGAATAATAGGAAGTAGCTCATATATACCATTCATGTCTACATTGTACAATAGTTTTTTTTCAGTAATCTGTTATAGATGTGAAAAGGGTAAAAGAATCTCAAAATAAAAGTCAATTTAAAATAAACATTCCTGGGCCTCCCCGGTGGCGCAGTGGTTGAGCGCTGGGTTGAGAAGCTGCCCGAGGCCTCGGCAGCGCCGGTTCGATCCCTGGCTGCTCCCCGGCCACCGGAGGAGGGTCCCACATGGCGCGCAGACCTCTCCTGCCACCCGCTGCCCCCCTCAGCAGTGTACTTTGGTCCTTCTGCCTGTTCTGCTCCCCACTCTGGCTCTGGTGAATTCTCTCACCCTCCCGCTCTTCTGACTGTACCCAGTGCTTGTATAAATAAATAAATAAATCTTTAAATAAATAAATAAATAATAAATAAAATAAACATTCCTCTACAAATTCTGGTACTGAGAAGAGATATTTCGCTCTAATGCTTTTCACAATGGAGTATAGTTTTTCATATAAATTCTGATCTATCAGGTCCACAGTTCAAAAATCCAGTTTTCTGGAGTTTATTAAAATACCAATATTTGTAAGAATAAATTATGCTTTTAAAGATAGTGTGCCTGATGAGGAGCTCTGTGATTCTTATGTGAGGATGCAAAGATGGTGTGGAGGTAGATAAAGGGAGAGACATTAATTTGAAAAATAAAAGTCTATAGCAGCACCCTCGCCCCAATCACTCTATAAAATACTGTCAAATTTTAGTTTCCATAAATAGACCTCATAGTCACTGATACCACTATTTAATGTTCAAAACTGTGAGGAAAGTCCTCTTCTTCACAACTTCCCGCAGTAGCAAGAAATCACTCAAAGCAAATGAGAGGAAAAAATTCACCTAACACACATATAAATATGCATTTTGAATGAAAAAAGATACATAAAAGCATTTTGCTCAGTCTAGTCTAGTGTGAAGGTAAGAGAAAAGCATTTGAAGATAAATTGGATCATAAATAATAAACCGATTATATTTTACTTTAAAATATATCACTTTATGATAGTCAGCTCTTAGCTTCAAGTTTTTCACAGATGTTCCTCATTAAATTGAGAAAGTTCATCTCTATTCTTAGTTTCCTGAGAGTTTTTCCAGAGAGTTTATCATGAATGGGTGTTGTTTTTTGTCAAATGTTTTTTTCTATAACAACTGTATGACCACATGATTTTTCTTCTTTAGTGGATTATGGTCAATGGTTTCTGAGTGTAGAACAAGTCTTGCATGTGAAATAAATCCCACCCAGTAGTTGTATATGATTCTTTGAATACTTATTCAATTTTACTTTTGCCAAGAATTTTTACATCTGTAGTCATGAGAACTGGCCTATAATTTTTCTTTCTTGTAATGTCTTTTCTGGTTTTTGTATGAGTATAATACTTGTCTCATGGAATTCCCTTTACCTTTATTTTTCTGGAAGAGACTGATTCAATTTATTTACTAGAGAGTATATAGGATGATTATTTCTCCTAGTGTCAGTTCTAGGTAGTTTGTATCTTTCAGGAGGTTGACTCATTTTTCCTGGGTTATCATAATTCATCAATTCAGTGGCAATAGAGTTGTTCAAAGTATTCCCTTAAAATGCATTATTGTCCACAGGAAGTGTTGTGATGGCTCTTATTTCATTTCTGATATTGATAATTTGTGTTTTCTCCCTTTTTTTCTAGGTTAGCCTGGCTAAAGATTTATTAACTTTAACAATCTTTTCAAAGAACCATCTTTGGGTTATGGTGATTCTGTTTTCCTGTTTCCTATTTCATTGACTTCTGCTCTAAGGATTATTTCTTTAATTAAACTTGCTTTGGATTAAATTTCTCTTCTCTGTATAGTTTCCTAAGTTAGAAATTTAGGCTACTAATTTTGTATCTGTCTTCTTCACTAATATATTTATTTATTCCTATACATTTCTCTCTAAGTGTTACTTTTGCTATGTCCCACGAATTTGATAAGTTGCATTTTCATTTTCATATAGCTAAAAAATATTTTGCTTATTTTAAAGCTTCTTCTTTGACCCATAGGTTATTTAGAAATGTGTTAATTTCTAAACATTTGGAGACTTTTTAGCTATTTTTTGTCATTGATTTCTTATTGAATTCCATTGTGGTCTAAGAACATACTTCATAAGGTTTCTACTCTTTTCAATTTGACTAGAATGATCTATCTAGTGAATGGTCCATGTAAACTTGAAAATAACATGTTCTGTTGCTATTGGATGGACTGCATTGAATTTTAAAACAGACAAAGGATCATTAAACCTACATTCTAGAAGAATAGTCTATTAATAAATAGTATTTAAATTTATCCTAGATTTCCCACACACTGGGTAATGAGTAAAGGCAGAGGAACACGCAATATGGATCCAAATGTGAATACATTATTTAATCTTCTAGGAGATAATTAAATACACACATTTTCAGAAACATTCACAAATAAATAGTTCTATTGCACGCTTTAAATGGTTTTCACTTGTAAAATTTTTTCCAATGCAATTTGATGCTAACAGAAATTGAGCAGGTACAATACTATATGTATGAGTTCATTTATAAATAATAAAACTAATGTGACTTTTTCTATAATTATGATTATAATTGAAAGATTAAAGCTTTTCTGCTAGTTTTTCTTAAAAAGAGAAATAAGAAAAGATAGTGTCAAATGAAAAGAGGAAGACATTTCATATTTAGCCTTCCAAGAGATTATTTTAAAAATAACATTTCATCAGAACAACATCTAAGGGTATTTAAAAATCTTCATTTATCTTTTTTGATTGCTGAATAATATTCCATTGTGTTATATACCACATCTTCTTGATCCAGTCATCTATTTTTGGGCATTTGGGTTGTTTCCAGTTTTTACCTATTGTAAATAGTGCTACAAAAAACATAGGGGGAGTAGAGGTGTTCTTTTGAATCAATGTTTTTGTGTCCTTTCGGTAGATCCCTAGGAGTGGAATTGCCGGGTCATATGGTAGCTCCATTTTTAGTAGACTGAGGAACCCCCAGACAGCATTCCATAGTGGTTGGACCAGTTTGCACTCCCACCAGCAATGTAGGAGGGTTCCTTTTTCACTTATAGCATGAATATAGGGTAACCAAATAAGACATCAGTGTAAAAAAAATAATGACAGTACAAAACACAACAAAGCAAAAACAGACAATTATAAATCAGACACATACTGCAGGGGAAGAGGCGGGAGAGGGATCGGAGGGAGGGAGGGAAGAGCACAGGGGACTGAGGTGATGGTGCACAGGTGCAATGGTGAAGGAAATTCTATGGGGACTAACCGGAGGGGAAGAGGGGAAGCCAATATTGTTTAAAAATGAACAATGATATAAAAAATAAAAAATTAAAAAAAATAAAAATGGTTGAGGTGGTTAAAAAAAATCTTCATTTATATGAAATCAACTTCTAATTAAGAAATAATTGGAGAGAGTGAGAGAAAATTATATAGAAAGGGGGATAAAAGCACACACTACTGATTGTAGTTTTCTATTGTAGCCCCTTTGATTATTATAGTCAATAAGATTCCAATCAGGATTTTTGCATTTTGTAAATCACTCTCTAAATGACAAAACATTCTTCACATATCTGGCTTATCTACTCAAAAGAATCTACAACAGCTGAATAAAGGGTGAAAAGTAACCTGAAAAAGCCAAGTAATCAAACTCTAATCAATTCAACAAAATTCGATCAACTAATTAACTGCATTCTAGTTTACCCAAACCATCCCACAAGTTATAATACTTTCGGTTCTGAAGTACAGCCTGGAAGAGTTGTTGAAACTCCCAATATATTGATTCTAAAATTAAAAACTTTCTATGAAATCTATTTATTTATGTCTTATCTCTATTTCTCTTATAGTTTGAGTTAACCAAATATTATTTCAATTGATATTTCCATTCAAACAATATGACTACATAAAAATGACTGAACAATTACTATTATGAATGTAAAGAAAAAGAAGAGTCACAGAATAAACTTTTGTTTCTCAATTTAATGGATTGTGTTAAAGCAAAAATAATAATAATTTAAGTGAGTTTAATTCTTAAGTGTGATAAGTCCTTTGAAAATTACCTTTTGTTGAATCATCCTCTATTGGCTGTTTGAACAACGTAATATCCTTGAAAGTGCATAGGAATAAGACCACCTTTTCATGTTCATTTCTTATTGGTGCAATTTGCATATAAAACCAAACAGGGGTTCCTGTAAAAGTAAGAAAGACAACACAATATGACACAGCCACACAATGTTTGGTCTTCTACCATCTGTCTTCTTTCAGTTGCCAACTGTTATGCCAGGAACCAGCATCAAAACTACAGTATTTCAATTGCTGAAAAGAGTCAAGCTAGCTTTGATTTTGTATCAACTGCCAATTGTTCAAAAAGTAAACACTTATATTTCAACCCCAAGTAATAAAATTCTAAAAAGTAAAGCACTGGGGCCAAAGCACAAAGCAGGAGCATAAAGGCATTCTCCCCACTTAAGTAACGCCAGCAGCACCTTCAGGTGTGGGTCCTTTTACCACTGCTGCTCACATCAACTCCTTTTCATGATCTCACCAAATGTGACCACTCCTATGTGCTTCTCTCTTCTTGTGAACTTGAGAAGTGTTTCCCATTAATTTCAACAGTCATGCTTGAGGCTTCAATAAGCATTCCTCTTGGAGAAACCATCGATATTATTTTTTTTTCTTTTTTTTTTGAATGAGTATTTGGGAATATTTTTCCTTTTTTTTAACTAAGGTAACATTGATTTACAACATAGCATGTGATCCGAAAGTGTAAGAACACACCTCTCCAGATGTGTATTACCGTACCCCACTCACCACCAGGCACCAATGGATTATAGCAAAGAGAGATTTCTATCTCAAAACTCTCTCATCAGTCACATAGACTTATTGGATCATTTTATAGTTTTAACTGCAGACTTCTGTCAGAGGAAAAGGACATAAACAGCACTTAATGACTCGTGTACACAGAGGCTGAAGCCTGTAAGGCAAGGTTACGCCGACAAAAAGGAGACAGGTTCCCAGCCCTTAGGAGTCTCACACATCTCCATGAGCCATCACCTCCTACATCCCTCACTCAAAGCATGAGGTTCAACTGTCACCATGTTCTTCAAACCATAGCTCCTGCAGACTCCAGACAGTTTCTACGTGTCCAAGTCGTAGAATTTGGATAAATCAGGAATTGATATATTGTCAAATAATAAATATCTGAACACATGAGAAATGCACTTAAAGCAGTAAGTAGCCACTAGACAAAAAGCTGAAGGAATCAAAAAGACACATTTTGATCATATTATCTCCAAGTCACAGAGCAGTGAAGCCTCTCCAAACAGTCTCTGGTTTGGGTTTTGGGGAGTGAAATGTGCAGCTATTACTAGGTGACTCTAGGTGAGAGCTAACAAACTGTAAGTGGTTTCCAGTGGAAGCACTTCCATACCTGTGGCCCCAAAAGTCACAGAATAATGTCACCACAGAGGAGAATTTCTGTTTAGATAAGATGAGGAGATTTAATTACCTGGTTAAAGACGTCAGAGGATTAGAGAGATTTCTAGGGGAATAATCAGTTCTGAAAACCAGGTCTTTTGCAACTCCAGGGGGCCTATGAAAGGACAGAGCCCTTTCCAAAATTATCACAGGATGAGACAGGGACCTCAGAACCAATCACACTATCTCCCAAAGAAGCACGTTCGTTGTTTTGTTTATTTTATACATGTATCCACTAACTGAGTGATGTACAGTCTTACAAGTCACCAGATGCAGACACTGACAGATACATGTCCTGTGGCTGTTTCAACACTCGCAGCTTTGAGGCAGCAGAGTCATAAACAGAGAAAGGGGCATTAAAATTTAAGTCGTTACCCAAGGTCTGTTAGAAATCTAAACAGAAAGAGATGGTGTTACATGTCAGCCCTGCCTATGAAAACAGCAACTTTTCAAATGTGGCATGGAGTTCAGGGCTGTTTTTCAAATTGTTTTGAGATAACAAGGTAGATTTTTCTTCAAGTTGAGCTATAGGATCAGACTCATCTGAGAAGGCTGAGCACATGCTGAGTGGCTGGGGAAATAGCCATATTTTGGATTTGGGACTGAGGGGAATGAGGTTTAGGCAGAGAGGCCTTTCCCCCAGGAAAGTGCTTGGTATTGACTATTTGGAGTGGCTCCTCCATCACAGTTCTGCCTTTGTGTAAACAGAATGAGTCATTTTTAAAAAAATATTTATGTATTTGTGCATACAAGAGCTGGGGTACAGGCCAGAGGTGTGGGGGGTGAGAGCATTCACCAGAGACAGTGGGGAACAGAACAGGCAGATGGACTGAAATACACTGCTGAGGGGAGCAGCGGGTGAGTCAGAAGAGGTCTGCTGCACCATGTAGGTACCTCCCTGTCCAGGGATTGAACATGTGCTGTAGTGGTTGTGGACAGCTTCATAGGCTATGTCTCAACCCCTTGCGCTGCCACCAGGGAGATCCCAGAATGAGCCATTTTAAATAGTTATCCCTGAGCTAGTGTTTCTTTTCCAACAGCTGAAATAGTCCCCGCCATCACAGCAATGGACCCAAAAAGTGGAGGCTGCAGTCCTCCCTGGTAGCACAGGGGTTAAAGTCTCAGTGCTATCAAACTATCACCAGCCACTGCAGTATGAGTTCAATCCCTGGCCAGGGAGGTGACCCACATGGCACAGAAGATCTCTCCAGTCTCACCCAGTGTTCCCCTCAGCAGTATATTTCAGTAGCTCCATCTATTCTGTTCCCTACTCTGGTGAATCCTCTCACCTCCCCCATCACCACCTCTGGCCTACATCCCAGTTCTTATAGGCATAAATAAATAAAAATAAACCTTTAAAAAAAAAAGTGGAGGCTTCAAATTGAAATGTCAATCCTGACCATGTAAATCAGACACCTCAGTCTTCCCATTTACAAAATGGTGTTTAACCAAATCACTTAATGGGAGTTTTAAAAGGATTAGGCATTCAGGCATTCCCAAAACAGTTTCCTACAGATACAAATTTTTCTAACACTTTAGAAAGTCATGAGAATATACATTTTTAGTTAATGTTCAAAAGCCTTCAGTTAACTATTTACAAGATTTTTTTGGAGCTGCTTTTAAGTATAATACACAGATAATAACTATCCTTCGTATTAAAAAGGAAAAGAAAAAACCCAGGGCAGATACTACAGAGAAAAGATACTCAAGTTTTCATCTGTAAGTTATGGGCTATATCTCCTGCTGGCTCTACACATATATAGATGAAATATATCATTGGTAGATAATATATACATTATCCGAAAAGAACCAGACAGGCCTGAAGACAGATAATTATCTCAAGCCAGATCATTATTTCACTCCATTAAAGTAAAGCAAAATATCTAAACCACCTTGGAAGGGGCTTTTGGACGTGTAAGATTCAAGGTTATTGTTAACATGATTTAAAGTCATAAACAAAATGAAATTTCTACCACTATATTTTAGAGAAATTCAGCATCTATGGATTGGTTTTGTTTTCTTTAAAACTTTAAAATACGACAAAGATTTGTTTATTTTGCCTAAATACCAGAATGTAATGACCTCGGTAATATGGAATATTCTTCAATTATTTGCTAAACTCAGGGCCTACATCTAAGTCACACAAGGAGTAACATGCCTACATGAAAGTGAAATGGAGTTTGGGGATATGGGTTTGCTATGAATTAGCAATACGTATTCAGACCCAGTAAAAAAGATTCAGAAAGCACCTGAAGCCTGACTTTTCTCTGTCGATGACAAACCAACAGACATTTGGCTGTGACTTCAGAGAGAAATACCTCTTCCACCTTGATTCCACAGTGAAAGCCAAGATGTTAAGACAGCCCTTCCACTAAAGGAAATGAACAGACAAAACTCAACCAAAACAAGCCCTAGAAAATAACTATAAAATTGAGGTTACCAGAGGGGAGGATTGAGGTGGCGTACAAAAGGGGTTGTGCCACAATGGTCTAGGGTAAAGACTCTGGGTGCCTTATTGGTGGGTGTGGTATAGTAACAATACCTAAATCATACACAGTGTTGTCAACCAACATCACCTCAATGAAAAATACCACAAGGTTAAAACAACAATAAAGATCAATGTTTCTTTACCAAAGTGCACCATTGTGAAGCAACACCTAAGGTTGTTATCTCTAAGATAATCCAGCAACTTAAAAAGAGAAGCCTAAATTCAATTCCAAAAATTCCACAGAGAGCAAATTTTCGAGTTAAAATGGAAAGGATAAATTAAGCTCCACAACATCCAACATAAACTGAACAATGAACAAGTGCTTCCTGTTGAAGCAAGAATGCTAGAATTTAATAGCTTTCAATTTCTCCTAAACAATTGACTTTGCTATCATCTATGATTAACACTAAATAAATAATCCTATTCATTTTTTAAAAAGTTAATTGTGAAAGTAGCAAAAAGAAATAAGAGACTATCGAATGATAACAAATTAGAAAGGAGACTTGGTTGATGAGTATACTAGCTGGGTTTTTTGTTTGTTTGTTTGATTCTTTTTCCTCCCCCCACACTCTACTAGAGTCCATATTATGAGAACATAAGAAATTATATAATGAACTGACTACTCACAAATTCCACAACAATCAATATAAATTTATCAGATATCCACGGTCCATTCTAAAAATAATAACTATTTCCCGTAGCCTTCCACACAAAATAGTATAGCAAAAGACCAAACTGGTAAAGATTCCCCTCAAGTAGATGCCATGTATTGAGATAACATTATAGAAAGGTAATCACACATATCCCTGATATCAATTACTTTTTTCTTTAACCATAAGAAATGAATTTCTGTTATTTCTAGTTGCTGTCAGATAATTATAGGATCTTTACCACAAGCATTAATTACAAAACATTTTGCTGCCATACAAAAAAAAGTCACATTTAAAATGCACGATTTTTTTTTTCTTCCATTCTTCAAAAGGTAGTTTTTCATAGGTGGAATTGGTTGTAATTTTCTGTCTAATTTCACCAGCAACCCCTGCTCCTGCCAAGAAAAGGAGCAACATAGTTTTTTTTTCTCTAAACTATACCTCAACTACCACTTACCAAAACATAACATTATTAAAGAGTTAGATCATCTTATTGATAACTTAGATACTTACTGTTTTTCTTGTACAGAAGAACCTCAAAGCAGTTTGACTCATAGTTGTCAAAAGTTTGCCTGACTTTCTCAATGGTCTTCTTGTCAGTCAATTCCCCGTACATAAAACTGGAAGAAAAAAACAATCCCATTTCAGTTTTGTGTTGCTTTTCAAATGTTATACAAAATCCTATAGTCTTTGCATAAGTTTTTAAATTTAGTTACAAAATATAAAGTTACTCCCACAAAATGCACTAAAACCATCTTTGATTATGATTATTAAACCTCTTGCTAAAAGCTAGCTTTAGATATTATTTTAGAGATAGAGTCATCATTTTATACAATTCCTATATAAATAACATTTGGTTGCTAGAGTATAGTTAAATAACATGTTTTCCCAAAACACAGTTCAAAGTTCAAGTACCACAATACATTAACTATGAATAACTGCATAATGTATAAACATTGCTGCTAGCTCTTTGGTCTACAAACTACTAATAACTGATACACATTAAGATCAGTGAACAGTCACCTTACTTCTCTCAAAGTCTACCAGGATCCGTTACTGAGCATCTGTTATTTGGTTCATGCACAGACAGCAAAGCAAGTCCTCGTGTTGCCTCTTTGTTTTTTTGTGATAAACCCACATGACATTTTACAAAATTAGCTATTGAAGCTGAAATTAGTGATCAAAGATTAAAGTCCATCAAAGAAATGAAAAATGATAATGCAGGAAATGAAATTCAAAATGAACATAAATGAATTCATAGAATAAGTGACTGTGGAAATGTTAACATAGCTGCCATTTGAGAGACTCTAGATATGGAGCCAGAACAAAATAAGGTGAATTATCACCATAAATCAGGAAAATGAATGTGATGAAAAGTGTCAAGGTTTCCTGGAGAAAGATCCCAATGAAAACAAACTTCATATTAAAGGAGCCTTAGGAGATTGTTTCAAGTAGTGAAACTGGATGGATAAAATACTTGAAGGGGATTCAAACCTAGAAAGAAATACAATCATTTTCTAAGAGAGAAGACTTTCTTTGTTCATGTTATATTATGAGAATGCAAATATTGTTCAACGGACTTGTGATGGATTTTTACAAAGAAATAAAATTAATTCTCAATTTCTAAATCACAGTGTACTGAATAATATGAATTTTACTATTATTTTCATTTCCCTGTATTTATAGCCACCTACAAGAAAGCTTTCAATGTTTTGACAAACATTAGTAAAGGTCACAGAACAATTAGAATTTTTTCCATTAGTATTAAGATCCTATCACATGATTTTAATTTGCATGGTCTTGTATATGTTCCCATACCACACTGAGATAACAAGGCACCATATTCCATGTATAATTTCTTAAGATAGATATGAGTATGGTTAATGAGAAAAGACAAATTAAAGGAGATATACACCACTACTATAACTAGAGGAATATACAAAATACTGAGTGAGCTTCTACTTCCCAGGGAGAGTTCCTAATGTTTGAAATTATTTTCTAAGAGAACCTCACCAAAAGTCTTAAAATGTACAAAAGAGAACTCAATCACCACAAGCCTCTACAAAACTGTCCTTAATGCTTTCACAGTCCCTGGTTGAGAATCTGGAACTTAGATAAATAGTTTTACTAGTTGGTGGTATTGTTGAGACCATTTCTCCCACCAGGAAAGAATATGGGGCAATGCCAGATTTCTGGACTCTGTTCTGAAGGGTCAAGTATGTCTCTACTATTGCTTTTTTTCCCCCCAGTTTTCAATGAGTCGGCAACTTGGCCAGTGGCAAATCCAAATGTGATAGGGCCTGAAACTTATACTATTTTAGGGGGCCTCTTCAAGGAAAAGAATACAAAATTATAAATAAAAAAAAAATAGCACAAAGCCTTGAAAGATATCCACTCAAGTGAGAGCCCCTGAAGAGTAAGGTTCATTATCCTCATGGGACATCTGCCGTAAATGAATCAATCTAGAAAATTTATAACACACAAAGCATAGTGTTAGCAAGATCCAGCAAGACTAGTAGGACTCAACAGCAATTCTAATCACCACAGGAAATTACAGAGTAACTCAAGTCTATCTTACGGCAACCTAAGCAGCCAGAATTCTTGACACTGAGAAATGAAAGGAAGTAAATGAAGCTGGCCAAAGCTTGCCTGAGCACTGAGAAATCTGCATCCTGCATTTCAGTTACAATATTTCTGTCAGAAACAAGATGAGAATCTTAGATTGTCATTATAACAGCAAAAGCAGCAAACAAATCACAGACTAAAGTGACAGACTTCAGCTCCATCATCTTATAGTCAGAATAATACATGGAGCTTCAGTGCATTGAGAAGCCACTGTTCCTGACAAAGCCTGAATTTCAGCTCATGTGAGTTTCAAAAAAATCTCTTGAAGGCATTATAATATTATAATTAAATTGGAATTCCTCAGTTACAGGGCACAAGGGCACCATCCTTCCCCCTCCCAGCCCAAATAAAACATTTTTATTTAATATTGTTAAATATATTTTACAGACAGGTAAAGTTTTTAGTTAACCATTTTCTAATTAACTGTTATTTTTAATTAAAGATATTTTAAGAAAATATTTTTTAAAAAATTAAAAAATTAAGACAAGGGTAATGAGCTAACTAAATGTATGTGGTCTTGAAAGAAAGAACACCCATTTTACTCTTCTTACTAGATGTCTAAGTTCTGTGGTTTGATAAAATGAAATACAATATGCACAGCTGGCCAACAGGAAAAGAAAACATCTATAACATAACAAACTATTGGGAGGAAAATTATGAAAAACTATCTCTAATAGGATTAAAAATTGTTACAACTCAAATGTAAGAAATGAAACTAGTTTGGAAATTGAAAGAATAATAATAAAGCACTTAAGAATTACAACACAAATCTGATTCAGCTAAAATAAGAGAAGATGAAAATAAACATTTTTTCAAATAAATTATGAAACTGCTATATTTTTCTTTAGGTTAGCCTTCCCCATGCTAAAACCACCTGCTCTAAGAAAACATAGGCACTTTTTAAAAATCCCAGATTACATTGTCCTTATAACAGCATATATAATCTGTATACTTTAAAAGAAATAGTCTTGACTTCTTACATTGTTTCACCCCTTATTTCTCACTTTAAGTATATTAAACCATGTATTTCAGTGACTGAACATATATTTGAAGTGGTTAAATAATAAGAGCTATTTCAAAATGAACTATAAAAAATGTCTGAAATGTACTATCAATCCTTCCAAAGCAAGTGTTCTTTCAAACTATTAAAAGTATTTTCATCCAAAATTGTCCAAACCAGACTGGCTAACTCAGTGGTTCCATGGGTGTGGTGTATTTGCTTATCTGTTTGGCTTTTTCACATGCTGATATTGAATGTCTTTACTGGGGTTTCCTGCAGTTTAACACCACTCTGTTGAAGTTCACCCAAGTTTTAGAAATGGTAATCACAAGGCTTTAAAAACTACATCTAGGGCCTCCTTGGTGGTGCAAGGGTTAAGACACAACCTATGAAGCTATCTGTAGCCACTGCAGCACAAGTTCGACTCCCAGCCAGCCAGGAAGCAACCCACATGGCGCAGCAGACCTCTCCTGACTCGCCCGCTACTCCCCTCAGCAGTGTACTTTGGTCAATCTGCCTGTTCTGTTCCCCACTCTGTCTCTGGTGAATCCTCTCACCCCCTGCGCCTCTGGCCTGTATCCCAGCTCTTGTATGCATAAATAAATAAATCTTATAAAAAAAAGTATCTATAGATATAGATATAGAGATAGATGTCCACATATATATATATATACACATATATATATATATATAGTTTTGTGTCTCTTATTGAACATCCTCTGGAACATATAACAGAAATATTTTTCAAATTATAGAAATTTAAGTGCCCCTTCTGTAATTATAAATCACTTCTACAAGTGCAGTATTATTTACTGGAAAGAAAATAAAGTTAGACGTACAGAAGCCATTGGTGCTGCTATATTACTGAGCAGTCATGAAATAATAGACTGGTGCATGTGGAGAACCACTTACAAACTGGGATCATTCCTGGGCAAGTCCTATAACCTCTCTGACTACTAGTTTCTCATCGGGAAAAAGATGATGACATTAACATAACTCAGAGAGTGAGGATTAAAAGGATAACATACATAAAGGTATAAATTAAAAAGTGCTGTACAATGAATTGTTCCCAGGAAGCTTCCCAGACTAGGATAGAAGGTGCCTCCAGCCCCACCACTCCCTCGTTTCTCTACAATTGTAGGATAGGGTGACACCCCCATTACTGCTAGGCAGGAGCTCTGTGTCTTAAAGGAAGATGCACATCATTCTGTATTCCTTCTCTGTGAGGTCATAAGATTGAAGTATAAACTCACCCAGGGCTGCTCCTAGATAATATGGTCACTTCTCATGTCACACAATTAACAGGGGTTAAAATTTGGTCTTAGAAGTACAGGAGTTTTCCTTGGGAAGCTTGACTGAGCATTTGGCATCATTTTTTAAGATTTTACTTATTTTTTGCACAGAAGAACTGGAGTTCAGAGGTGCAGGGACTGAGAGGAATCACCAGAGACAGAGTAGGAAGCAGAAGGGTAGATTGCTGAAGGGAGCAGCAGGCGAGACAGGAGAGGTCTGCTGCACCATATGTGGGTCAGCTCCCTGGCCAGGAATTGAACTCAGCCCACAGAGGTCATAGTGCTGAGACTTAACCACTAAGCCACCAGGGAGGCCCATTTGGCATCTCATCTTTCATGGATATTCTTTCCTTGGAAACTTGGGGGGAATAGGTGGCTTTGACTTATAGCACAATTTACATATTTTTGGATCTCTTGTTCTACCATCAAAATCTCACAAACAAGCCTTCTTATGATACTTAATGGTAAGGACAGATTTCCAAAGGACAAAGGAACTTTACAAACTGAAAAACATATGTATATACACATACACATAGGACCTAATCATGCATCTCACCAATCTCTCTGAATCTTCTAATGGTCAACAATGTTCCTGAACTAACACTACAAACATTAGTCACCACTATTAAGGATAATATTATCCACAAGTGTACAGTTCACAGACTAGCCAATACTTTATCATAGAAACCACACAGATTGACTTAATGCAGTTGGCAATGTGGCCTTCTGCTCACAATTGGTCATTAGAGTCAAATCATCACAAAAATTAACGGGCTGAGATCTTTAGTCAAAGTACCAAAAAAAGGAGAAGCCTGAGAGAGAGAGAATAAGAAGAATTTTGAAACAAATAAAAATACAGCTTTCAAATTCTAACAGAGGTAATTTTGGGGTAAATCAATGTGTTACTTTATACCATGGTTTGTAACACAAAAGTCTCCAAATCCATTATTTATAGGGGCTTAAAAAGATTTATTCAGAAATGTTACACCCATGATAGGTGATTAGAAAAATTAGGGACAGGACCTCTCTGGTGGCACAAGGGGTTAAAACGCAACCTAAGAAGCCGAACACAGCCACTGCAGCACAAGTTCAATTCCAGGCCAGATAGTTACCCACATGTCGCAGCAGACCTCTCCTGTCTCACCCGCTGCTCCCTTCAACAGTGTATTTCAGTAGATTTGCCTGTTCTGCCACCCACTCTGTCTCTGGTGAATCCTTTCACACCCCCCACCCCCCACAACTTTGGCCTGTACCCCAGTTGTTGTATGCATAAAATAAATATTTTTTTTAAAAAAAGAAAGAAAAACTAGAGACAGCATGTCTCTAACCTTCTGACATGACCTGGTGAAGGCGCATCTGCCCCTAGCACTCACCCTTAGTGCAAGCCTGAGAAGCAGAGCCCCCAGCCAAGTGCAAGCAGCTGATGGACATCACTCCTGAGTGAGCTGCTTAAGACTGCGTTAATAACCCTGCTTGTGAATGACATCCAATAAAGGGTGTCAATGTCTCTGCTTCATTCCTTTATTTGATGGCATGGTTAAGGAATTATTAATGGGCTTCCAGGGGAAAAATGTATTTGAAAATTTCTGTGTACCCAATCCTCCCTACCCACGTGATTGTTCTTCTTTCTTCTCTATGGGAAGAAAAAAAGAAAAATGGAATTTTTTTTAAAACTTTTGGTTTGCATAAGATAATAAAACGTAAAATGCTGAAGTGGTTTTTCAGCCTAATCTATTAAATAAGATCATATGCTTTAAATTGCCATTGTCACAAAACCTTTAAATATGCAATATATTCTTTGTGCTTAAAAAAAAGCAACGCCAAAACACTCTAAAGGCAAATGTAACTATTAAATAATAAAAGGGACTAGATTTGAAATTT